AAACATTCACTCTCTCACTCACACCTAGGGACAATTTAGAGTTACCAATCAGCCTAACATGCATGTTTTTGGACTGTGGGAGGAAACCGGAGCACCCGGAGAAAACCCACGCATGCACGGAGAGAACATGCAAACTCCACCCAGAAAGGCCCCTGGACCGGGGTTTGAACCAGGGACCTGCTCGCTGAGAGTCAGCAGCTCTACCAGTTGCGCCACCGTGCTGCCCTGCTGATAAAACCATATGAGCTATATTACATTGACTTGTAGCTTCTCAGTCAAAATGTGATGCATTTATTCCCACTGCTAATTTCAAACTACTATACTAATACAACTAGCTAAACAATGGCTGACGGGGGGGGGACATATCTTTAAGTGTTACAACCATCCCTTGACATACAACTAATGAGAAAACTTTCCAGTACTTCATTTTAATAATTTTACAAAATGCCTAGGCAGTGTAAAAGAAAGACTGACAAGAGATGTGCCTGCAAATGTTTAAAAAAAAAAAGCTTGTATGAAAATGAATCCTGCCAAGATGATGACGATATATCATATTTTATGATGTTCCAAGTGTTGTGAAGTCTGCTCTGCCTGTTGCTGCAACACCCCAAAGCATTCAAGCTGGTTTCCAGTCTACGGGTATTTGCCCGGCAGCACAGTGGTGCAGTTGATAGAGCTGTTGCCTCTCAGCGAGCAGGTCGCCGGTTCAAATCCCAGCCTGGGACCTTTCTGGGTAGATTTTGATATACCAGTGAAGCAAGCATTGATGGAGAAAGAACAGAGAAGAGGAAGCAACAATGTAAGAAAGAGTATCTCAGGAAAGAATAAAATCAAGCAAAGGAGAGAAAGCCTGTCAAGAAAATGTTGAAAGTCGTTACTGAGGATTCTGAGACCTCACAATGAAAACTGCTGTGTTGTCTGTATGGAGCCATATGGCAACTCAAAGCCAAAGGAAGTGTGGGTAAAATGTGCACTATGCAATGTCTGGGCCCTGCACGGCAGGGGTACTAACATTCATTTGTCACCATTGTGACTATGATTAAGAATATAGGCCTACACACAGACACACACACACACACACACAGACATTGTTTTTATTTGACCTAATGTTCTTTACGTAGGTACAGTAGAGCATTCATTAGACATACATATCGTTAAGGAAGTTTATTCTAATAGTCCTACACTAATTTACACACGCACACACTCCTGTTACAACGTAGGTTGTAACAAAGGAAAACCGTGTATTTGACATCAGCTCACGCGGTCTGTGACAATCTTGCAGAGGCTTGAATTGTTGCCATTTGTAGAAGACAAATGTGTATACTTTGTGTAAAGATTTGAGCACTCTAGCTACAAAATTCAATGAGTTACAGGTGCTGAAGCAAAAAGTGTTACAACCATACCGGGTCTCCCCTAAAACATTTATTTAAATCTCAATGGAGGCAGTAATACAGGAGCCAGAAGACTCTTGACATAAGCACTGCTTCATTTTACCTCTCGAAGCTTTAATTTAATGACCTACTACGTATATCAATGCAAATGGAAGCTAGAGAAACAAACCATTTCTACTCAAACCCCATCTTCCGCCTGTCAGCATCATGACGGTTCACAGAATTTGCAAAGATGTGGTTCAATACGTCGATTTAAAGGTTTTATTGAAGCAATACAATAATAGTATTTTTCTGGGTGGTTAGGTTAGGACAGTGCATTAACTTATAATCTGATAGGTTCACTTCAGTTCAAAGTGTCTTAATTTGCATAAAGAAGATTTCGCATGTTCTGCAATTTGCATGTTAGAAGATGTAAAATTGTATTTAAATATTTACACAAGCTATTAAATATTTTACATCAATGTTGATTTTTTTTTTAATTTTTTTTTGCTGTTTTCACAGTTTTGTCTCTCTTGAACATTGTGATTTATTTAAGGAGTCATCGTTTGGTCTTTTCAAGGATTGGGTGAACACTGACACCTAGTGGTCAACATTCAGTACTGCAGGTCAGCTGCGTTTAACCTGAAAGGAAAGCTTCATAAAACGCGACAACAAAGTACTTTTCTTTCACTTATAGAAAGCTCTACAAGATCAGAAAGGAGTAGGAACCACAGGAAATCATTTTAAATGTCTTTATGACTTTTACATTAATTATTCCTTCAGAAACCAGGCCTACACATTGCAAACGTGGTTTCTCCTAACAAACATTTTGTTCAACAAGTCAGGGTGTTTTTTATTCTTTCCCCCAAAACAGGAAATAGTTTTTACATCACCTTGATGTAGACACCCAACTAGATGCCAAAACACCAGTTAGCTCATCACATGCCTTTGCTTGTAACAGACTTGCACAAGCCATAAAGTGAGAGTATAAAGTCTTCTGTAGATGTTTGTGTGTTCCAGTTTGTTGGCGTGTTGGTAGCGGAGACATAGAGATGAAAAAAGTAGAAGACTTACAAAAATTGTAGACGTGCAAGAAACGTCTGCGTGTACATCTGGGCATTAAAGGAATGGGCAGCTTGGTGTGCACACTACACGCTCTTGGACGTGGAGGGGTCAGAAAACTTGTCTTGCTTCATTCGTTACTGCAGTGGCACTCTTGGACTCTGACAGCTTTGAGACAGGTATGATGGCTACTGAGAGCTCTGAGGTAGCTGGCAGACTTTTTGAGCCTTTTTACCTCTCTCCGTTTGGCAGGCCATGTGAAGTGTAGCTCAGGTTATTGAAGGTACCAGGGTGAATAAATTATGCATTATCATCAGGTTTACAGCTGCTGACAGGCCACGTGATGAGGCTGCACTTTGGTCCTCCGTGCTTTGGTTTGTTGGGGAAATCATATATTCTCATCATGTTCAAAGAAACATACCTCTTTAAAGTTTCATTTATTATTTTAGAATGCTCTTGTCATATAGGTATTTTTAAAGAAACTAGAATAAATGTGTTAAAATGAGCACAATATGTGTTGTGTGGCTACAAGTCCAAACCATCACCTCTGACTTTAACAGCTCTTGTGTATTGTTTTGACTGCGTTTGTTCATTTTCACACATGTTGCTGTGCATTGCAGCCATCATTCTCACCTTCCTCAAACAGTAAATGAACGATCTTACAAAAGTCTTCCAGTTGGTTCAGGTGCAGCTTTGCAAACCAGAATGATGCTCTCATGTTCTTGAGTTTAAGAAAGTTTGTTCACTTAATCTGCATAGATTTTTGCCTCTATGTTTATACTCTGAATAGAAACTGATTTTTCTGAGTGGGTGTTCGAAAAAAGGTCAAAAAAAGGATATGAGGAAAAAGAAAAATGTATCCCATGGGATGTCCTTCAGTTAGTCAGAGCAGTTTGGTGAGACTTTTAATTGAGCAAACATGTTTAAAAGAAGAAACGTATAGTTGTAGTAAAAACATAATGTCCTTGTCTATCTTTAGGCATAACAAATATTTTGAATATTGTTATTAATCATCATGACAGTAATATTTCACCCAGATAAAAAAAAACAAAAAAACACTATAATATACTTTTTCATTTGTACATATACATTTACAGCCTGTATGTCAACAAAGGAGAAGGAAGTTAAGTGTCCCTTAGTCCCTTTATTCTATAACCGGATAATAATAATAAATAATAATAAACCGGATCTGTTCCAGTGTGCAAGTGGACTCCAATCCGGGTCTGTTTTGAGGATCAGTTCCCGAGCCTACGCTAGATCCGGAACAGATCCGGTCCGGAGTCCGTTTGCTATCTGGGTAACATATATTACTTACAGTAGCAGTATATTAATGTTTGTATACCAAGTGATGTAAATATAAGATAATGTGAATCCACGTGCATTTATTTGTCCTTCATGCAGCCATTTACACAAAAACACATGAACATAAATACCTATTATACCGGGTTTACCTATTATGCAGGGGCCGATTTATCGATGCACCCCTAGTGCAAATAGGTATTTAGGGCCCTGATTTTCTTAATTTTGGGAAAGCGGAAATCGGCCGATACTTACTGTACATGAGAAACCAATTTTATCGATTTTTTTTTTAGTTTTAACAACAATTGTCTGAACTTCATTTATATTTCAGAGCTCTACCTCATGGCCAGTTAAAACAAGTTTGTATTGTTTCTATGATATTGTTCAAGGGTATGTTTTTCAATAAAATAATATTGGAAAACTGAAGGTGCATTGTGACCTTATAACACCGGACAGTGTTGCTTATAAAACAAAATCAGAATTGGCAGGTCAGACTTTTTAGAAATCGGTGATCGGCCAGAAAACTGCAATCTGTGCACCCCTAATTTGCACCCATGTACAGATGACATGCATTTTTTCATTCAACCTTTATTTATACAGGTTAATCCCATTGAGCCTCGGGGACTCATTTATAAGAGAGACCTGATTTTAACAAACAGTGATGATGAACAGCAAAGACAACAATAGGCAATCATAAAGGATGTGTACAAATTGAGATATTTACAGGTATATTCATTTTTTTTTTTTTCCATTTAGCCTTTATTTATCCAGGTTAGTCTCATTGAGCCACGAGAACTCATTTTCAAGAGAGACCTGTTTAGGGAGCACATGGTGGGGTTAAGGGCCTTGCTCATGGGCCCAGAGTGGGGCGAATCAGGGTGGGGGCAAGTGTGGGTGTTTCACCTACCCCACCCACAATTTATTTGCACTATAAAATAAATGGCTTGTATCTCAAGTAAATTGATGTATTATATAGGTAATATTATATAGATAATTTAAAATACTTTAGATCACATTGTATTTCACAGTTAATCACAAAAGTTGATGCAATACTAGTATTTTTACGTTTCAGGTTATCTGCTCTTGTCTTGACAACAGAAAAACAGTAGAAAACAACATAAGAGCAACATTTTTTATTAATCCATTTGATGTGATCTTGTCAAAAAGGCGACAAAAGTGACGTTTCGTTTTATTTGGGTCGCTCTTTCTAATTAACGCCGCCTCCTACGTCATCGCCCTCCAGCCAATCACGTGGCGACGTTCAGAGTCGACGCGCTGACCCAACATGGCGAGGCTCCGGAGCGAGTACGGAGCTCAGGAGTCCGGCCGCTTTTAACCGAGAAAATAGCCTCTGCTTCCGTCTTTACGATGTGGTGGGGTTAGCCAGAGCCGCCATACGCACTGCCTTTAGACCATGTTGGCAGAGGTAAGTGGAAACGGGCGCGTGCGTGACGAAAATGTGTTGTTCTTGGTGGGGTTAGCTTAAGAGCGGTTAGCGCCTCGAGCCGATGCAGGTAAACAGAGAGGCTGTCAGGCAGGAGAGGACGAGGCTGTCAGCCCGGATTACTCTGCTAACACTTATTAATGCGACGGAGCTTAGACAGTCCTCAGCGTCAACACTGCTGGACATAAAAGTGTCTTCAGTCTGTCCTAAACATGCTCAGAGTACGAATAATGTCCCAGAACAACAAAGAGACCGACAGGTGAGCTGGGCGTTAGCTGCGAGGACAAACCTGACGACCCGAGCTGCTCCTGTAAGCTGTCACAGGTAGATCTTCACAAGGACGACACCGATCGATTCATACAAGTGGTGGAAACTCGTTTCCAGAACCTTCCTTTTCTTTTAATGGCTTAAACAGAGCAATTAATTTGTATAAAATGCTTTTCTCATTGATTCTACTTTTATTAAATATGAAAAGCCCAAGTTGTTCTCGATAGCAGCATCTTGCATGACATCCACGTTTAAAAAGATGCCACTATTGATTGTTTTTGTTTTCATTAATCATATTGATTATCAGTTATTTGAGGAGTACTTGGACTCTGTCATTTTTAATATAGTAATTTAACTTAGTGCCTAATTAAGGTGCATGGTAGTGATTCGTTATCATTGTTAGTGATGTTCTCCTGCTCTGTGTTGTGGATAGAAAAACACAGCAAGGGACAAGAATAACTAATCAGCCTTTTTTAAATGTCCTGTTTGCAATGGGTGATATGCTTTTTAACATTTACAAGGTTCTGGCTGCATGTCTGACAAACAAATCTAAGCAACTACCGGTAATTTTCCTCTACAGTTGTTTTCCCCAATTTGATTTTAGTTCATTTTATTTTCAACAGCCAATTTTGGTGTTTACACAAAATAAAATCTACACGAAGATTTTCAAATTAAAATGCAACTATAGCTGTAAATAGTCAATTCCAAAATGATAACAAACAAAATCAAGTTCTGATTAAACGTGTGTTAAAAATAAAAAGCCAAAATATTCACCTTGCAAGGATCACGTTGGGAGGAACTGCAGCAAACTGTGGTGAGAGACATCCTTATTTGACAGCTTTGATTATCAGAAACAAATCAATAAATACAACATAAGTATTTAAAAAGTACTAATGGAGACTGTTACATCGCAAAATAATTTAAAACAGCTGACGCTTTTCATATCACATATGTTCTAATTTGCATGTGTTTGAATATACTGTGCACAACGTGTCAGGCACAAATGACTCCAGGTCCAGTATAAATGTTTTTTTTTGTTATCTACCCTAAACAGTAACAGAGTTTTATAAAAAGAACATGGTGTTTTATCTGTGAGGACCTGAACCTTGTAAAACCACGAGCTTAGTAGAAAAGTGTTTTCAGAAGCGTGATTCCCTGCCGTCGGTCTGAAGTTTTCTTTAAGTGGTTTTGATATGAATAAAAACTGTCCAAACATTTACTGTAAATCTACATTTGTATTTAAACACAAATGCTGCTCTGGATGGGGATCGAAAAATCTGAAATTTAAAACTGAAGGTGTAAAGGAAGGATAAGCGGAGAGTTCGACTCCTTACCAAACTCTGTAATTACGGTATATTTAAGTTTAACATTTGTGTGTGAATACAACCGATTGTGAGACTAACCTGTATAAATAAAGGTTGAATGACTTCCAAAGTTCATGCTCAATAATCCAGGTATAAAATACAGGTGCACCGATTTATCAGTCCCAATTTCCTTAATTTTGGGACATTGGAAATCGTCCGATATTTGCATGAGAAACTGATTTTACCAATTAAAAAAAAAAGAGTTTTAACAACAATTGTCTGAACTTCATTGATATTTCAGAGCACTACCTCATGGCCAGTTAAAACTAGTCTGTATTGTTCTAGGATATTGTCAGGGATATGTTTTTCAACAAAATAATATTGGAAAATTGAAGGTGCATTGTGACATTATAACACTGGACAGTGTTGCTGTTCTCCTGCTCTGTGTTGGGGATAGAAAAACACAGCAAGGGACAAGAACAGCTACTCAGCTTTTTAAAAATATCCTGTTTGCAATAGGTAATGTGTTTTTTAACATCTACAAGGTTCTGATTGCATTGTCTGACAAACAAATCTAAGCAACAACAGGTAATTTTTCTCTACAATTGTTATCCCCAATTGGATTGTAGTTAATTTTATTACTTATAAAACAAAATCGGAATCGGCAGGTCAGACTTTTTAGAAATTGTGATTGGTGATCGGCCAGAAAACTGCAATCTGTGCACCTGTAGTATAAAATCAACAATTTTCAGTCAGGTCATCTGGACGGTTTCTTTTTTTTTTTTTTTTTGTGCTGAGATGTTTCACCTTCCATCCAGAAGACTTCATCAGTCTGAGGAAAAACCAAACAATACTGTCTCGGCACAACAACAAAAAAAGAAACCGTCCAGATCCATCCATCCATCCATTTTCTTCCGCTTATCCGGGGTCGGGTCGCGGGGGTAGCAGCCTAAGTAGGGAGGCCCAGACTTCCCTCTCCCCAGCCACTTGGGCCAGCTCTTCCGGGGGAATCCAGAGGCGTTCCCAGGCCAGCCGAGAAACATAGTCCCTCCAGCATGTCCTGGGTCTTCCCCTGGGCCTCCTTCCGGTGGGATGTGTCTGGAACACCTCACCAGGGAGGCGTCCAGAAGGCATCCTAAACAGATGCCCAAGCCACCTCAACTGGCTCCTCTCGATGTGGAGAAGCAGCGGCTCTACTCTGAGTCCCTCCCGGATGATCGAGCTTCTCACCCTGTCTCTAAGGGAGAGCCCAGACACCCTGCGGAGAAAACTCATTTCGGCCGCTTGTATCCGAGATCTCATTCTTTCGGTCACAACCCAAAGCTCGTGACCATAGATGAGGGTGGGAACGTAGATCGATCGGTAAATTGAGAGCTTCGCCTTTTGACTCAGCTCTCTCTTCACCACGACAGACCTGTACAGCGCCCGCTTCACTGCAGACGTTGCACCTATCGATCTCACGCTCCATTTTTCCCTCATTCGTGAACAAGACCCCAAGATACCGTCCAGATGACCTGACTAAATTGTTGGATCGTATAACTGGATTATTGAGCATGGACTTTGGTGTTTTGAACCAGTTTGACATGACTGTCGACGAGGGAGAGGGTGAGGGTGAGCACCGGAGGAGAGGGTGGGCACCGGAGGAGCGGGTGGGCACCGGAGGAGAGGGTGGGCACCGGAGGAGCGGGTGGGCACCGGAGGAGAGGGTGGGCACCGGAGGAGAAGGCGTGCCCCAGAGACCATCTTAGCATCAACATAACAGTTTTTTTCCACTTAGGAGTAAGTTGTTGGGGGAAGAATCAGTTTTGTCTTGTTTCCTTGACTGATGAAGCCTTCTGGATGGAAGGTGAAACGTTTCAGCACAAACACACAAAAAGAAACCGTCCAGATGACCTGACTGAAAATTGTTGGATTGAATGAATTATAAAAGATATCGTCTGTTGGACATATCCTCCGTGTACGTTTAGTTCATTGGAGCCTGGATGTAGTGTTTTATTGACATTTATTAATCAGGAAAAATGTCAGGAAGGACATCCGGCGTAAAAACTTTTGCCAAGTTAGTTCACTGTGGCGACCCCTGAAGAAGGGAGCAGCCGAAAGAAGAAGAAAAATTAGTAGAAGTCAGTATCTTGTCTGTTTCAGGGAAACGAACCAGCACAGACTTCTGCTGAAAAAGTCAAAGGTGTGAATTCAGTGTTGGCTGTAATGACATTTAACTGTGCTCCACGTGTCCACACTGGTTTCCTTAACTGAGTTTTATAAAGACTTCCAGAACGTCTGCCGACGTGCAGCAGGGTGCCACTCACATACATGTTTCAGCTTTTCAGCAGGTTAAGTTTAAGTTAACATGTGAGGAAATGAAAACGGTGGCTGTGCCATGAACTTATGTTCCTTTTGCACAGTGTATCAGCCGACGTGTTTCTCACTTAATGCCATGCAGTCAGAGCTTCTAATAAAATACTTACACTTTTTGCACAATGCTGACATTAGTTTTGTCCAACTTAAGAAGTTTTGTATCTTGGTTGTTGCAGATTTGTAGGCCTTTATTAGATGCATTTAAATAAACGTTTTGTGGATGTTTGTTAGCTTCACTGCCTTCTACAGCTGTTAAACATTGTTTTAAACAGTTCTCTGCGCTTTTTTTCCCAGTTAAATCTCATTAAGCTGTTCTAATCAAAAGCTTGCTGTCACATCAGGCCTGCTTGTCATCTTGAGCACTCCTTCCTTCCTGCACTCACTAAACATGGCTGTCCTTGCCAAACAACCTGATGGCCTGGTCAGACCTGTTTGTATTTCCTTTTGTTACCAGAGAATTTCAACGTGCCTAGACCATGATGAAAACCTGTAGTTCATCTGAACGGCACTCATCATTTTGTATTTTGACTTGAAAAGGATAGAAGCGCTCATCCCTTTTTAAGAAGTATCCTGATGCATGCTTGCTTTAAGAAGGTTTTTGTGTTGCATTTTTCTACTGTCACTGTCGATCAAATGATTCCTCCTAGATCGTTAGGATCTTGGAACAGCGTCATAATTCCCCAGGTGCTCTCTCTTCTCACTAGAAAGGTGACAGGAAGCAGCTATAGAGTCAGTCTTTGATAGAGGAGGGATGTGGCTGACGTTTTCCTCCCCTGGGTGATCGTTGAGGTAGCAGCTTACATCTCAAAGGACCCGGACGGAAAAAAAGAACTCCATAAAAAATAGTGTGTTAGTGCCAAACCCCATCAAACAAATAAAATTACATCGTGGATGGTGGTCATTCAGATTATCCTGTTATTTAAGGATAAAAATACAGATATAACATATCTTTGTCATTTATACAAACCGGATTCCAAAAAAGTTGGGACACTAAACAAATTGTGAATAAAAACTGAATGCAATGATGTGGAGGTGCCAACATCTAATATTTTATTC